ATTATCACAGTGGGGATGACAATGACCAAAGCTGTCTAAATCAATACATGTTTTTACCAACCCTTGTTTCATTTGTCTGTCTATGAAGACACATGATAATTCCTATTACCTATTTACTGTGGAATAAACATGGTCCAGAGGGAAATATAGTGGCTTCTCATCCATTCGTAGCAGGAGTTTTATATTAAGAACACTCTCATCCATGCGACAATGATCATTGTTCCATTATTCGGTATTCCCTTCATATGTCAAACATGTAGAAGATCTATTTACCTTCTGTACAATATATTTTGTGAAAAGATAGAATATGTATGGCTACTGCACCTTTAAAATAAAACATGCAATACACAGGTAATAGATTATAATGCCTGCTTACTAGTTAGATTTAGGGCTTACGTAATGTGTACTGTGGTATTGTGTGGCAATCCCACAGTGGAACTGGGGGTTGTAGTAACCCAGGACTCTCAGCCGGAAAGACTGAGCAGTTCCAGGAAACAAATTATTTTGCTGGGAAAGAACTGGCTTTGCAGTTCTCTCCAGAAAACCTGGATTTGGTATGGGATCCTGGAACTGGGAGATTTCAAAGAGAACTGGGAGTGATGAAATCTCCATTCCTGGGTCCATTGTTTAGTAGGGGCCAGAACCTAATGATTGCACACCTGTGCATAGCCCTTATGGAAAGGGTGCTGGCTAGTGTTCTGGGCTCCAGCTGGGAAGAGGAACAGAGGTGTTCAGGAGGACTCCACCCAGACGTCAGAGGGGAGCCAGGTGGCTGTGTGTGCTGGAGGCACCTCGTAGACAGCCGAGGAGACAGAGAGGTCAGGAAGGTCGGTGACCCTAGGACCGCTACGACACACTGCTGAGAGAGCAGAGTGAGGGTTCATAAGCGAATCTACTAAGCCATATAAAGGGAACTGTCTTATGTTGCTGCTGATGCAAGATATATTTCTGTTTGCCCTAAATAAACTGCATTTGATTTGACTTACCTGGACTACAGTGGAGTGTCCTTGTTACGGTACATTCAAGGATGCTACAAAGCGCAATGTAAACCCATGACACCCAGCTTCTGGTAGGAGAATAGAAGGGAGGAAGGTGAGTGTAGACAGCAAATTAAAAAAGTTCATGCCCTTTTTCACTTGTTTGGTGCAGTTCCAGTGCTAACTGGCCTGTGTCTTTCCAAAGGTGTCAGACCATCTGTTAATGGCATTAAGACTACAGAATTAGTAGAAATAATGTCAATTTTAACAAGGCCACCTTGTTTTCCAGACCACCTTTGCAGAAATAGGCAAGGAAAGACAAAACATTATATATGTAAGAGGACCTCCTTGTAGCCAAAAGGGATAAGCATCCCAGGGTCGATTCACCTAGGGTCCAGAAAATCTTGTTTAATGGGATTTGCCATTCAGGTTAGCTGAATTTTAAGTCTTTGGGATGCGGATCCTATTAGTAAACTCTGACAAATTTAGGGTTAACTGTTAAATAAAAAAATGTGAATAAATATATTATAAAGTACCATACAGTGGGGAGAGTGTCTTTTCAGGTGGCTTCAATGGCAACATTGAAAATACAAAAATCCGTTAAAAATATGCTTGGAATGCCTTAAGCTCTACGTACGTTATGGAACAGTATAATCTTCACAGACATACTCAACAACAGGGTATACTGACATACAGTATTTGGCTGTGGAATTGATTTCTTTTAGCTTGGCTTACATACAGAAGCAGCACCCCAATCTGAATTACTTCAGTTCTGAAAAAAATCTTTATTCAGGTAGCTTTTGCAGTGTTAGATGCTTTTTTAACAAACGGTAAGAGGACTGCTTTGACATGTAGATAGTAGTTGGCCAGTAGTTTGCTGGGGCTGTCCTTGTTCTCTCCCTGTTGTGTAAAATGTCCTGCCACTGGCCAATTTCTATGTAACTCTCATTAAGAATAAAGAAACAGCAGATAACACATTAATGCAAAATTGGCTAGCAGCAGGACATTTTACTGAGGAAGATTTGGACGAAATGTACTAGAGTCTAAGAATACAGGTGGGTGTTTTACTTCATGAATTAAGAAACAGATGATACAGCAGCTGGCCATTTTTTTGAGCAAGGCTAGGCCCAAACTTACTAAAGACAAAATGCACAGGCTTGGATTTTACTTAAACAATTAGGATATGCCTTAGCATATAGCAGTGTAAAATTGGCCAGCAGCAGGACAAAATAAATGAAAACCCCTAAAAACTGCCCCCCCCCCCCCCCCCGAAACAAAAGCCCATTTTATTAAAGGAAAGCCTTGAAGCAAAAAAAAGTAACAAAACAAAAAGACAGCTCCTCTTCCTAGTGCAATACCATGAATAATGAAATAAAAACACAGAGCAGCTGGCTACTCACACAAGGGTGGAAGATGTGAACGTGTAAATGTCCACCATTAGACAAACAGGACACTCGGCAGGGCCGTTCACAAGATAATGGACCAGAGTGTAGCAAAGCTTATGCGTTTGGGGGCAATCCCCCTTCTTCAGAGCTAGAAAAAAGTCTACTTTGGGCAGCATAGTAGCTAAAAGTGACCACTGACCTCAATTCAACCACAAAATATATTGAAAGAGATAATAAAGTCTTTTTTTTTAAATGGGGGGCCCAAGAGCTTTTAGCCATAACGTGCTAGTATGCACAACATATTAGAACATGCCATTCTTACCTGCCAAAGCAATCCCCTCCAGTGCCGGAATGTGCAGGCTCTCCTCCTTCACTGGCGCTTCCATCCTAGTCCCAGTCTTTTTGCGGCTTCTGAATCTTTGGTGGCTTGATTAGCTGGGCCTAAATGGACCAACGTACAAAATTTTGGTCAGGTAAAACAGCTCCTGTCTATTTTGTTTATTTCTGTATTTTAGCTATTTGCCTGGGATTCAGCTTAAAATACTTTTATGCTTTATGTGCATTAAAAGATATGGTTAAAAAAAGACATTGTTTGAGGCTAGGTTCTGATAGGAATAGGTTATGCTCTAATGAAGGACAATAAAAGATCAGCCATTGGTGCAGGATGCTGCTATGTTCTGACAGCTGTCACAATGCTGCCCATGTTCTAGTACAGCATACACAGTAATCACAACTACTCATCTTCATTTTTGTAATCAATATGAAGCGAGATATGACAAAACAGGGTTGTAGCATTCATGTTATAAATGAATCAGAAGATCTAACTTCTGGCAGCTAACAGACCTGCATGAGACGTTCAGTGATCTATCTTCAGGAACTGCTGATCTACAGTAAATCAGCCCAGTCTATGCTATTATATACCACAATGTCCCCACTATTACACTGTCACTTCTGGTGAATTAGTACTTTTAATACCTCTGTGTATTATGATTAAAAACATGGTTTCTCCAGCTGGTGATGTATAAAGTACAATTCTAGTTTAAATACTAAATGCAGAAGTTAAATATGTGCATGTAAACTGTTTTACATGGCAAAGGATTTGTAGTTCTGTTCATCCAGTCTTGTAATCCATAACTACATATTACATAGTATTTGAGGTTGAATAAAGACATTAGTCCATCAAGTCCAACCTATTAGGATCTCATTCTAGGAGTACCTGTACCCCTGTATATTACGGTCCCTTAAGAAATCGTCCAAAAGTTTCTTGAACAATTCCACATTCTTTGCTGAAATCACTGTCTGTGGCAGTGAGTTCCAGACCCTAACTGATCTTACTGTGAAGAACCCCCTTCGCCCCTTGTGCTGGAATTTTTTTTCCACCAATTTTAGGTGGTGGCCTCTAGTTTTTGTAATGGAGTTAATTTTAAACAGTTTATCGCTAATGTTGCTACCTCCATTGAACATTTTGTACATGGAGATCATATCCCCCCTTAATCTCCTCACCTCCAATGTGAACATGTTTAAATTTAGTAGCCTTGTCTCGTAGCTCTGGTCCTCCATACCCCTAATTAGTTTGGTTGCCCTTCGCTGGACTTTTTCCAACTCAAGGACATCTTTTCTTTGTACCGGTGACCAGAAATGGACCACGTGCTCCAGATAAGGTCGAACCAATGATGTATAAAGTGGCAAAATTATAGACTTTCGGCTAGCGTCCGTCATATCTAGCTCTAGCCAGAGAGTTTCCACATCTTCCCCATTATATGACGCGATATCGTCCCTTATATGCACATTTAGATTATTTTTAACGTAAATGCAACCCCCCCTTCTCCCACCTCTGTCCCTCCTAAACAGGTTATACCCCTCTATATTAGTAGCCCAGTCATGCGTAGTGTCCAGCCAGGTTTCCCCTATACCCACTATATCGAGGTCCTCTTCCAGTATCATTATTTCAAGCTCCTCTATTTTATTTGCCAGACTTCTAGCGTTGGTGTACATACATTTAATTCCTCTCTTTTTGTGGGACAAAAGTTTACTACCTTGTTGGTCCCCACTATTTTTATTGTTATTATTCTGCCTTGATTTCGGTCGTCCGTTGGTAGTTATACTTACATGTGCCAATGGATGGATATTAAAGCAAGCATTTGAACTGGAGATACAGACTGCTAAATATGAACATCTTGATATTTCCTACAAGTCAAACTAAAGCTGGCCATACACTGGTAGAATTTCGTTTGATCAAGAAAAGATTTCCATCCTGCGCCTTTGACTTTTTTCGTCATTGCAGTCAAAATCGATCGTCGCCTATTAGAAAGCCGAACGAATGTTCTGAAAACTACTTTTTTTTGTGAATGAAATTCTACTGGTGTATGGGCAGCTTTTAAACTGCAGAATTCTTCTTCCTGCTTGTTTACAATTTTCACCTACACAGGCGCATAAGTATGTGGTGCTAAGGATGGTAGGATTGAAATAAAACTATTGCCTTGCCCTACATGAGCAAACCAACATGTTTGCTTTAAAGCTGTTAGTTATTTTTCTTAATTTTTTCCATCAGTATAGTTTTAGATGCCTTTCATGGCCAACAGCACACTGCACGTCATCCTATCAAAACAAAGTGATCATATCCTTATTTTTCTTACAGATTGTGGAAGAATCCTCATTTCTAACCGTGGACATGCTGGAATCCTGCTTTCCTTATGTGTTGCTCCGAAATGCTTACCATGAAGTCCATCGCACCTTCTCAACCATGGTAGCCTCCTGATCGCATGGTGCCATTATGTGCAACGCCCACAGACGGGAAGCAAGCGCTATTAGAGTGTGGACAGCAATGTTCATGACTGTCTACCCTCCACCTTCCCAGCATGCATTAGTTTAGGAAATAAATAACACGTACAAAGTCCTTGTACTTGTAGGGAAAAGCCAATGCTCAAGTTAATGTGATCAGCAGAGCCTTGGGGTCTATTTCTACATTTCTCCACTGCAATTGTGTGAAATAATGTTATTATATTCTCAATATTTCCTGCTGTGTAAGAGCTGGAATGATTCTTTTGCTCTATCACTTTTAATAACCAGGCAGCCAAAACAGTGTTTTCAGTGAATGCTAAGGCAAAATAATAACATCGGAACACAAAGGATTTGGCTGCCAATTATAACTGCCTGCAGCCAAAGTAAATCACATGCTACATTGCTTTTAAAATGCCAAAGTTGTGGTTTTCTTGTATTCCCATTTGTTTTTCTGGACACTTCACTGAAATCTGGCTTGCCCGGCCACATTTACTAAATAATATACATTGTACTAGCGCAGAAAAGGTGTGGGAGAGATCAATGATGAGATTAAGAAGAAAGTGGCATTTTAGGAAGGCAGAAATGTCAGCGCTGTTATCAGGCTATTATTGCTGTTCAGTCATTTGTTAGTGTGCATCATCGCTGCATTTGCTTAGGATGTTCACAAGTATTAACCTTTGTGTTGCATCATCTGCAGCATTGTCTGAAGTCATCTGTCTATTATTAAAATGTTCTTCAGCTAAAATGTATTATTTCTTCATTTTTTTCTAACAAAATTGTACGTATAGGAAAATGGAGATAGATCAAATACTTGTGTGTCAAAGAACAGAGGAACAGAGGACAGCTGTCTAGTGGAGCATACATCAAAGGTCTCATACAAAGACCATTGAGGGTCTTGTTCTTTAGGATAATTGTTGAAAGAATGGGGTATAGTTTCTTCTTTTTCAGAAAGCCGTATACTGTAAATAAACAGAATGGACAGAGGCATGTGCCAGTACAATAATATTATTTACAGTGTGTAACCTGGCCATACAGCCAGTACATTGGGAGATGTGCTGTTTAATGGTGAGTTAAAGCAAACAGCTGAATGCACAGGTGAAGTACATGTACGTGAACTATTTTTACCTAAACAAGTATCTGCAGTTCTGTTCAGCAAATCTTGTGAACCAGACAACCCAGCCAGACACCAAAACCAGGTCATGGACCTCTATGAAAACTACACTGCAGTTAAGCAAACCTGTGGCTATCGAAATATAATCGCAACCATTGCTGACCATTGTTACAAATGTCAGCTGTCTGGCTACTATACTGATAAAATAACTACAGGGATTTCAGAGTAACTGACCTGAAACAGGAATGCAGATGAAAAGTTGCATGATTTTTCCAGGTCAGTGACTCATAAAGTGTTAGTCAGAGCCAGGCAACTAGCATTTGAGCAGGAGGTTGGCATGCCAGCCATGGTCTTTCTCTCAGTATGGGTTTTCTTTCAATAAGAGCTCCAGGGAAAACATTTACTTGTTTTTGTCTAGGTCCAAAGGTATACCCAACTGAACTGTTGAGCTTACTCCTTGCTTCCCTGGTCACTGAAGCGCGCTTCATCCTCCGCTGTACAGACAGAATGTTCTTCAGCATCCTCGCGTCTATACACTTGTATAGAACATCATGACACAGGGATTTTTGGACCTCTGAAGAGGAGGGGGAGAGAGGCTCTAGGGACCGGTCTATGAACAAGCCAGCTTAAATGATCAGGTGAGTATAACCTTCTTTTTTTTTTAGCACCTAGATACAAACAAGCAGTTAATCTTTGCAGTGCGGGGGTAACATTTCCCCTAAGAGTTGTTTCTTCTTTAAGCAATACAGATTGGTCTAGAACCCACCCCAACCTGGAGTGAACAATAGAGGACAATGAAGGAGCAAAATCAGACTGATTAGCTCATGCCTGTGCTCCCCCTTCCTGTAAGCATTTTCACAGGGTTAGACTAACACCATTGCTATGTTTAAAGCAATAAAGCCCCTAAAGGTTTAGTGCGCTGCACCTCCCTTTCATACTCGAACTGCTGCTCTACAGGGAATTACACAAAAGCTAATTTAACCACTTCAAGACCAGGTGTTTAGACCCCCTTCCTGGCCAGGCCATTTTTCAGTGTTCAGCGCTGCGATACTTTGACTGTAGAATTATGAGGTGTGTGATTTTCACTCAGCCTCATAATCTGAGCTGACCTGTGACAATGAGACTGTCACAGGTCAGCTCTGTAGATCGGGAAGTGAGCGAACAAATACCAGCGCTTGCTCACTTCTCGATCCTGGGCCGACAGAGAGCCGTGGCAGGGGAGGGACTGGATTCCCCCCTCCCCTTATGGGGAAAAGCCCTAACCCCATGTTAAGATAATGTAAATCATTTGCTGGGTATAGGTGCACGTTAGGCTTACAAATTCTGTCACATTTGCATTATTTAGCTCTCCTATAATTATTCCCCATAAGCTATAATTGGTTTACTGTGTCCCTGAAACAGGGTAGATGGGAGCAACATTTATCCTTTGGGGAAGCAGGGAGCATGATCCAAAGTAAAGAGGATGTTTGTTGCAATTCTGCTTCTTTAAAAGGTGATTGTTGTTCAGGCAGGGCAGTGAACAATGACTTGAACTTTCGGCTTCGGGAACTGAAGTCGAATTAGTCTGGTGTCTAGTAGGGTCTGATGTCCCCTCCTGAATTTTACACCAATCTTGCACCTATACTTTAACATTTAACCCTTAGTCTATACTTTAATACTTACCCGACTTACACTTGCCTCAACCTAACACTTAACCTAACCCCTAAAGTGGACCATAAACACCTAACCTCTCCCCCAACATTTAACTAATGCCTTAACACTTAACCCACACACTTAAACCTTACTCCAACTCTAACACTTTAAGCAGAACTGCCATGTTAGCCTCTATTTGGATTGCAGTTGCCATGGTGCTGCACATGTGATCAGCTATGACCCCAGGGATTTATGGGCCTTTTGAATTTCAGTAGAAAACTGAAATAAGGACATTGGCAACCTTGACAGTTGGATTGCCATAAAAGTAGCTGTTTTGGGAGACATTGAGTTGGTCGGTAAAGATCCTCTTTAACCTAACCTAACAAGTGCATTTGTAATTTTTACCGTTTTCTCTTAGTTCCCCTGTAAATTCAACAAATACCCATTGATCCTGCCAGTGAAGTCCACCTAATGCAGCTTTCTGTGATATGTGGCAACAATGCTGCACAGCTCCTGAATTCAGAGCAGAGTTGCCACTCTCATGTGGGCTGTTCCTGCTTGTATTACATTGACAGGAGAAGCTGTTGCAGGGGGCATGACTAGAAGCATTGTCACTGCTTTTTTACAAGCCTATAAGTTGTCAATTAGCACCTGACCACATCTACTCCTTCCCACTGCATCTGTTGTTGAAACCCTCCCAGAGTAGACAGCAGCGCCTTGGGTGAAGTGCATGTGAGACACAAATGAAGGAGCATTTGACTCTGGAAAGGTAAAGGAAGTATTTTGTTTACATGAGGCTTATGCACCACATAGTAATTGGATTGGGTACATGTTTAGACTTTCATATAGGAGCCTTTAGTTGTACTTTAACCATACCCTAGCAAATCCAAAACTATCCAAAAAAAGGGTTTGCTTTGCATAATGTATACTTTAAGAGAGAAAAAATGAATACATTTGAAATAAACAAAACAGAATTTTCCTAAATACAAATTTGTAGATTAGAAAAAGACAAAAGCATATTGTCTCCAGTATGTGCCATTTATAATCCTGCAAATATGTGCAAAGGTTCATAATATGTTACACACTTGAATAGTAAGTATTCAGTATTAATTCACAGGAATTCCTAGAAAATGTATCTTCCAGATGAGTACTTTTTGGGACTAAAATGAGGGTGCTGTTAGAATTGTGTGATTTTGGCTTTAGGGTAAGGGCTGCGGTTGATGGTGAGGGACATTGTTGCCCACTTTTTAAAGCTGACCTTTGGACCCACAAATTGTCATTTAAATGTATTCCTTAATAGCCACAAATGCTATAAATATACTTTGTGTGCTTCAAATGCCTTTTACAACACAGATATTACTTTAAAAATAATGGTAAAATCATAATTGTGCTGCTCATAGCCCGTGAAGAGAGCAGAGATGTGGGAGGGACACAGCATATCCTCCAACAGGCTGTCTGCAGAAAACTACAGGAGGGGGCTACAAGACCAGTCACCCTGCACAAGAATGGAGAGAAGCAGTGACTGACCTTTATTGCAGGAAGTTCCTACACATAAAGCCTATGTAAAGACAAAGAGCAGGAGTTGTTTTGTTCATGATTTCTGCACACAGATCTGTAAGAAATACAGATGAAGATTCAAGTAAGAATGCACATGTCTCTAGTATTTTGAAGATATTTGGTTAGCCTGGATTTCGGGTTTAATTCTAACTTGCTTTCAGTTTCTAAACTCTGGACAATGAAAAGCTCCTGGTGCCAAAAACCAGCAAATTGTGGCCAAAAACCAGCAAATGGTATCTTCTTTCCTTTATGAGATGACAATATTTACCAAATGTTGTGTACAGATACTTTTGATTTAATTTTAGCATAATGATATCTTTGGAGTATAATTTACCACAAATCTACTTCAGTAGTACAAGTTATGTAATGCTGATATTTGTGATTTACATATTTGTAATTACATATAGTATGCTTCGACATTTAGGATTTGACTGCAAACAAATTGTTCCATCTACACCAGAAATCCACCGACTGCCACTGTTGCTTTGAATGGATTTTGTTATTAACATTATCCCTAGATAAATTATCACCTTCATTAGATGAGTGCTGCTGAGAGCCAGCTGATTAAGTTGTCAAGCAGTGTCCCGCTATTTTTCATGGCATTGATTAGTGCTAAAGGGATCAGGGATTTGGGTAGAGAGGAACTCTTAAAAAATCACCAGTATCCTTGTATAGCATAAGCATGTGTGATTTTCAGGTGCTTTACACATATCCCATCGCACTCCTTACCGTAGAATCCCGATATAATCCATGGTGAGTGCTGCAGTGACAAGCAGCTGGCACCGCATTAGTGAATACTGATCAATACACTCATCATCAGAACAGCACCTGAAAAAAAGAGAAGTCACCACCACTCCAATTGTAATGCTAATATCAAAAATATGATAACGTCTTTTGCTTTGTGATAAAGTGAACATGCATCAGTAAAAAGACGTATTGGTATCACAATTGGAGTATCAGTATCAGTGACTTCTCTTTTATTCAGGTGCTTTGTTCTGATGATGAGTGTATGTAGCACCATCTACATTCAATATGAGCTCACTAAACAAGCAGGAAGTGATCTACCTCCTTACTCCTATGCAATTCCACTGAATACTGGTGCACAACCAAGGCTTCCACCAGCCCTTCATCATAAGGCCCTTCATTGCAATTAAACAACATATTAATCATAGCTATGATTAAGGTCGCTTTTGGCTGAAATGTCTTAGTGGGGCTGCTATGTCTGGTTTTATGTTTTGAATAAATAAAGAAGATTTTAACTGGATCCAGAACCATGTGCAAACATTTTTTCCTACCTACTATCAATGTTGGAAATCCCTTTAGAGCAACAGTGAACACCTTCTTTGTACCAGAGGA